TCACTAATCATTAGGGAAACTCAAATCCAAACTGTAATGACATACCAACTCTCATCTGTTAAGATGGGCCACTATCTAAAAATATAGCAAATAACAAGTTTTGGCAAAGATGTAGAGAAATTAGGAGCCTTGTAAATTGTTGATGAGCATGAAAAATGGCGTGGTTGCTATGAAAACCAGTGTAATCATTCCTTTGAAATAAACAGAACAATCAAAAGAACTGAAAGCAGGATCTCAAGTTCTCTGGGCACCCATGCGCAGAACAGCATTACTCACAATAGGCAAAGGGTGGAGCGATCCAAGTGCCTGTCAACAAATAAATGGACAAGTAAAAATGGTACATGTTCACAATGGAATCTTATTCAGCTTTTCAAAGAAAGGAAGTTCTGACATAAGCTACAAGTTGATGAGTTTTGAGAACCTTATTCCAAGTGAAATAAATTCACCAAAAGACAAATACTATATGATTTCATTTAATGTCAGGAGCATAGATGTAGTGGTTGGTTGTGTTTTGAGAAGAGTTGAAGCTTAGCTGAATTAGCTCGGCAATGCTCGGCCCTAGGGTGCAGAGGAGCCACCCTAAGGTGGCTCATCACCTAGATGATATACAAGGGAAATGAGGAAGGAGAGGGAGTTCCATTCTTCGGAGGAGCTGCAGTCTGCGCCTTCAGCTTGGATGTTGTTTCCTGGCTTCTAGTACAGACTCTTCACCTTCTTCCCTGGATCCTTTAGCCTTCTGGTGTAGATTCATTAGCCTTCTGCCCCAGACCCATTGGCCTCCTGATGCGGACTTACACCAATGCTGCAGTGAGCTCCAGACCTTGGACTGAACACTTGGGTTTCCATTGTGAAGATGCCCTCTGCTGGCTTTCATCCAACTCTGTTGCTGACCGTCGTAAACCAGTCTTTCAATTTCTTGTACATTTGTACATCTTGTGTTATATTTTTTTCTCTGACAAACCCTGACTGATACACTAGAGCAGTCAGGTTCATGAAGATGAAAAGTATAACAGTCATTGCTAGGGACTAAGAGGAGTGAAATGGGTAGTGTCACTCTTGAATGAGAACAGGCTGGCGATTGAACCAAGCCAATCTAGACAAGTGCTTTCTCTACTACCAGCTACATGCCCAGCCTCTGGAGTTTCAGTTGTCCAAGATGCAAGGAGTTCTGGAGGTCAGCAGCACCACTATGCGATTGTACTTAGAACTACTGAAATGTGCACTTAAAATGCTGAAGCCAGTGAATCCGATGTTATGTGTACTTTACCACAATTATGGTTTTAAAGATTTTAAGTGCTTCTTCCTTAAAACTGCCTGTCTTGTGAGGACCTACAATTACTGTAAAATATTCAAGGCTCGTGTGCTTTTCTAATTGTTGATTACATTTTAATGAAATTTCACACATTTTTGTTTAAAGTGCAGTGCCAAGGGAGCCATGACAATGGCTCTGGATCTGTGCCTGATTGTCTAGCTTGGCTGTACACACTCCAGGGTGGACAGTGTCCCTCTGCTGCCCTGACACAGCACAGTGTGCAGCGTGCACAGAATGGCAAACACAATGCATAATAATTCCAGGTGACAGCAAAATAGCAGCTGATGCTCAGGGGACTCGGGCCGTGTGTCAGGAGTTGTTTTGAGTGCTTTATGTGCATCAATTCTCTTAACCTTCACAATAATCCTATGAAGTGGGCACTGCTCAATTCTACTGCACAGATGAGGAAAAAGAGTCCCACAGAGCAACAAGAACCTCCATCTCATTTAGATTTAAGTGACTTGCTCTGTGATGTGACAGTATGCACTTCCTGTGCCTGCCCCTTCATCCTGGTAACAGCCTCTTTGCCTCCCTCACTGACTCAGGCATCCTCCACCGATTCCCTGACTCTCCGTACTGCTCCTCATCCACGCAGGAGAACTCTTCTCCTCTTGCCCATCACAGCATCAGCCCAGCTATGTCATGGTTCACCTGATTATTTTGTATCTTTTCTTGGGGACCAGAAGTCTCTTCAGAAGGGAAGCTACATTGATTTCCACACCCACTGGACCTTTGTGGGAATGAAGAAGGCAAAATTGAACCTGTGCTCTTTCCTTTTCCTATTGCGGAAATTCCCTGTCACACTTAGCCATCTGAAGTCACTTTTGCAAGAAGGTAGAATATAAATCCATTGATTAAATGCAGTCTAACTTCCTTGAAAAGAGAAGAATGGACACCTAGATAGGAAAACAGGTCCCTTTCTGCCATATAGGGTGACTAATTTTCAACCAAAAATCAGCTCACAGCACATAACTGTTATTCATCAGGCACTGCTTTATCTGACTCCGTTGGCACCACCTTACCCTGAAGCAACAAATCATATTTTCAGTGTGTATGTGCATCTACTGCTTTATTATAAAATAGAAACTGTAGGTACAATTATTCTTATTTGACAGGTTAGGAAACGGAAGCATGGTGCCTCAGTTAAATTAACTGGTACTTAAATTATCCTGGGTTCGCTGGAGGATACTAAAGGCAGTGATGAGGGCTGGGCTCCAGCCAGCACCATGTGCAGACTGACACGTGAGACTGTGACTTGTCACCAGGCTAACCTAACACCCCACAGACAGACAACTCTGGGGCCTCAGAGAGAACAAGAGTCAGGTTAAGCTGGGCTGGAATGAGTCAGTGCTGAGAATAGGGCACACGCATCAAGGAAATGGCAGAATCTGCCTGAAGGTTATGGGGCAGCCTAGTGGGGTGGAGCCTGGCTGTGTTTACAGGAAAGGGCTTGATTCCCCCCTGTGTGTCTCAACAGTCCAGCCCAGGGCCAGGAAATGACAACAGGTCAGGCAGAACTGGTGGAGAGATGCAGAAATCTTAGACCGGATTTCCTGGTGCAGTCCAGGGGAACCCAGGGCTCCTCAACTGAGCTTGGCAGGAAGGACTCTTCCAGGGTTCCTGAGGAGTAGTGACCCGAGTACCTAGGCTCCTCTCTCTGTGACTGAGGGACCCTGTGGGAGGGAGCTCAGATTCAATCGCCACCATTCCAGTCCACAGGCCCCCTCCCGCACTCCTTCTGCCAGCTCCCATTGCGTGGATTTTGGGTTAGGTAACCACACCAGGCTTTGTGTGGACACAGACTGAAGCATAAATGCAATGGGGTCAGAGGGTAGGAGACAAGTACACTTAGCACCTTGATCTGGTGGAGGATACCTGTAGTCCTAGCTCTCTGGGAGGCTAAGGCTGGAGGACAGAATGTTCAAGCTCAGCCTGTGGAACTTAGTTACTTAATGAGACCCAGTATCAAAATGCAAATAAATGTGATTGGGGATGTAGCTCAGCAGGAAGACCTTAGGTTCAATCCTCGGTTCAACAAACCAAATGAAACCAAACGATACCAAACCGAACCAAACCGAACCAAACCAAACCAAACCAAACCAAACCAAACCAAAGTCAAAGTTCCCAGAGCTGAGCAGTGCAGTTGTCATTTTTCATTAAAAAAAATTGTTTAGAAGTAATTGCAGGGGCCTAGGATATAGCTCAGCAGCACAGCACCTCCCTGGCAAACATGAGGTCTTGAGTTTGATTCCTGGTTCCCCCCACCAAAAAAAAAAAAAAAAAAAAAAAAAGAAAAGAAAAAAAGAAAGCAAGAAAGAAAACCGCTCAGTTTAGAACATTGGATCCCAGAGCCATCCTCAGAAAAGACAGTCACCAAGATGGGCTTCTGAAGGCAGAGACCCCTTCCAAGGATTCTGCCTCAGCTTCCTGGGCTCCCAGGGACAGGAAAATGACACTGATCAGGAAGGGCCGGGTCTCAGGCGAGAGAGGTCAGGGCAAACAGGATTGTGTCCACTGCGTCATGAGCGGCTCAGAGTCAGGGGCAAGGCCCACATTCATCATCTTCTTTTATTAGTAAAAACCAGCTGCACCCGTTCCCTCCCTCAGGCAGCCTTCCTTGTTGACGCTCTCCCAGGCTTCCCACATGGCTCATCCCAGCACAGGGCTCCCCAGTTCCGCCAGCCTGGCCCGCTGCCTCTGCTCTCCTTTCCTTCTCCACCTCAGCAGGCACAAAGCCTGACCTTCGGTCTGGCTGAACATGGGGCTCCCCGCCCCACCCTGAGGTGCCTGTGACCCTCACAGCTCTCCTCCGTTAGCAGCACCTGACACTGTGGTCTCCTCTGATCCCTCTTCTCGCTCAGGCACAGCGGAGGTTGGAGACTTTGCTGTTCTCACTTCTCTATGTCCACTGCCTCCCTTCTGTCACTGCATGCAGCCATGGAGCCAGTCCTCCCTGTGCTGTGCCTGGAAGCTGCATAATGGACCAGCCTCTGCCTGTCTGCTCTGCCGCCCGGCGCCCAGCTGGTTTCTGAAAGCACAGAGTTGGTCACACCGTCCAGCCCCTTCCTCACGAAACTGCACAGGGTCCCATTCCCGAAAGCCCACTGCCCAAGGTACCGTTCCCGAAAGCTACTGCTCAGCTTTTGAGGACCTCCAGACCCTGGTCCCGACCCACCCATTCACACTGAATGTGTAGATTCTCCTTGGACACTAATTTCCAAGCGAAGGTTTATTGCTCCTGGGCATAGCACACGGGTCCCCACTGTGTTTCCTCATTTGGAAATGCACCCTCCCCTTTCTGGCCCTTCCCAGCCCAGCCCTGTCCCCCTGGGGTCCTAGTGCACTGGAGATGCTTCAGAGCAGGACACCTGAGGAGCTGGGCCCATGTCCAGGGCAGCCCTGCTTGGGAGTCGCTGCTGTGTGATGGCTGAAGAATGCACAGGGAGGCACTGTGAGGGTCACAGCTGGCACAGACAGTGCCAGAGTTGGAGCTGCAGGCCAGAGCTGAGTCTCCCTGGAAGTAGATGCTCTCCAGGGTAGAGACCCCTTCTGGCTGACACATGCCCAGAGACACATGTGAGAGCGTTTGCCAGGAGGATCTACACACGCAGATGCACAGCAGGGTTTTCCACTCTGCTGCCCGTAGCCAGGTCACACCTCTCCTGGGATTGGCTCCTCTGCCCTCTGTCTAGTAGAGGTTGTGCTGGGCAGAGTAGTGGGCACACCACTGGCGGTGGTACTGCAGGTGATAGTGTTTCACCAGCTTGCCCAAGATGTAGAGGAACTCATCGAAGCAGATCTGGTTGTCCTTGTTCTTGTCTGCTGCCCGGAACAGCTCTGCAATGTAGTATGGGTCCTTCCGGCCCTGGGGAGAGGCATCAGGTCACCACTCAGTCAGGCATGCGGCCCACCCACCCGGCCTTCCCCCACTGCTGGGACGGCGGAGGTCACATCAGTGCTGGGAAACAGCTCCTCTCTCAGAGAGCCATAGAGTACATGCTGCAAAACAGGCCGAAGAGCCCCGATGTGCGGGGTGTCTCAGTCAGTGGAGCAGCAGAGCCTAAGGGCAGTAGGGCCCGCACCAAGGACACAGATGCTGGGCTAACTGTACAGACTCTGAACAGTGCTGCCCCACCTGGCCTCTGCACGTTCTCCTCCACTGTCTGTGACCATGGAGGCTTGGCTGCTTAGCTGTACAGCCTAGAGGGAACCCATGCCAGCCTCCCAAATGCAGGGAGCTAGGACCCATCCCAACACAGGGAGCTCAGGGTTTGAGGCAAAGTCACAGACTAAAGGCACTTTGAGCAAAGGGAAGGGGCAGAACCAGAGTCCAGTAGGCAGAAGAGCAGAGGAATAGACAGGTGGATGGTGAGGCAGAGTTTAAGGGATGAGCCACGATGGGGATGGAGTAGGACACAAAGATTAAGGGCAGGCAAGGAGAAGAAATGAAGCTGGGCAGATCCTGTGAGCCTCCCTCCCCAGGTTGCAGATTCCCCTAGGAATCAGCGCCCTTCATGGACGCACTCACCACTCACGCCCGACACTCACTGCCTGCCCCATCACTGTCCTGCACAGGTGTCCTGGCCCCCTGTTCACCCTCACTGTGGTCTCAGACCCTCCATACCAAGGTCTCCATGAAGTGGGGCACATGGTCCATCAGTAGGGCCTTCAGCTCCTCCAGGCTCAGGGTCTCTACGTCTCCTCCATGGGCTGCATACTGGTGGTAGAGGTGGATGATGTTGAAGAGGGATTCCTCCATTGGCATGTGAGGCATGACAGCTGGGCCCAGGGGCAGAGAGAGCTTGGGGTGCAGGGGTGTGGCAGTGGGGACAGCAGAGGATCTGCGAAGACACAGCGACCTCACCTAAGCCAGTCCACAGCAGAATGGATTTTTCACCCTAGAGCTATGGCCCTACAGCCTATCCCCACACCTTGTCTCAGGTGCCACCCCTATCTCTCCTCTTGTCAAGAGGACACAAGGGCATTGTGCCACAAGAAACTGTCCTACAGAATATCAGCATACAGCTGTGTCCCTTCATAGGGACCGAGGGCCTCCTGGACACAGGAGCTGCGTCCTTCTCTCTCTCAGCTCAACCTGAGTTTAGGTGTTAGCTACAGTGAGGTGTAAGGAGCAACTCACTCCTCTCTAATGCAACAGAGTGATTATATTGTTTAACATGGAAAGTTTTATACGCTTGAAAAACAAGAATCTCTCTCAATGGTAAATGCCCGGGACATTAAACAATCATGTCACCGAGGAAGCTCAGGCCCGTGCTCACGGTGCCATTTTCCTCCAGCCTCACCGCACAGACAGTGCATGCAGTGCCTGCTTCATGTCACCACTACCTCACTGGGGAGCCCCTTTAGGAGCTGAGGCCCCAGGAGAGGCCTCCCAATCCTGCAGCCTCCCTCATCCTCTGTACAGCACCCATCTGACCTGACACCGGGGCCTCCATGCTCGGCCCCCTCCTCCCTTCCAACCGAGGTGGGGCTCTGACCTCTCCTCTCAGAGCACAGAGCTTTCCCCAGATGGTGTGCAGGTCAGAATCACAACAGCTGTGGCTTCGGCACCTCCCAGAGAAGCACATCCTACATGGGATCCCATCCAAGTCTCAGCATGGCCTTAGAGGGGAGGCACCTCTACTCCTGATTTTTGAGGGGGGAAATGAAATCCCATGGCTGAAGGGATTTCCCCAAGAACACATAACAGATCCACCCAGAGTTGGACTAAAACCCATGTATTTAAGGAAAGTGGTCCAAATCCTGCTTTTCAGTTAGGATCCTAACCCCCTCTGGGCTGCAGCTGTGATGCCGAGACCCCCACCCAGGGCAGCACGTTCTCTCCCACAGGTATGGTCCACTCTGCTCTCTAGCATAGGCACACAAAGCCCAGCCCACCTGGCACCCTGGCTTGCTGGTGATGGGAGCTGACCTGTTGCTGTCCTGCAGGGCTGCTCAGAATCCACAGTCCAGCTCCCACTTGATTGTAGGATGCCTAGACTCAGGCAGGTGACAGAGTGGTGTCCCTCCTGTCCCTGCTGCCTCTAGTGACAATAGCCAGACTCTGACTGCACGGCTCCTCCACAACACCAGGGAGCCTTTGCTGCCTTCCTGATGATATCATGAAATGTGTTACCAAGATGATGCAGCTCTTGGGGATGAAGCAGCCAAGCATCAGAAAAGGGCCTATTATGCATCCCTGCCCCAAAGCTGGCTCATCCTCCCAGCTCAAAGGTTTGGGCGGGGTCCAGCGCACACTGAGACTCATCCTTTTCACCAGCCCCCACCCCACACCATGAACACCAAACTCCCCTGTCATTTGTTTACTCATTCAGCAACTATTTCTTGAGTACTTCTGTGTGTCAGGCCCCCTGCAGGGAAGGGCAAACATGGCTGCTGAGTTCACTGACTGAGTGGGAATCTTTGCACCCAGCAAGGACACCCTCTCTTGGAAGACTTCCTCAGCATGGTGATCTTGAGTCAGGCTTCGTGCAGCTTTCAGCTGCAGGGAAGAATAGAGGACCAGGTGCTCCATGCAGAGAAAAACACATGGGCAAAGAGCTGGAGGCCTGCAGGGTGGAAAGCACAAGGCCTGCTGGGGGTTGGGGTCCACAGGGAGCCCTGGGGACAGTCAGAGGACTCAGGGGAATAGAGGCTTCAGGGAAGCAAGCCCAAAGGGCCCTGTGCTCCAGGCCAGAGCAGTAACTTCCTCTTACACATGCAAGGACAGAAGCAAAGGGTTGTTTATAAGATGGGTGATGGTGGGAAGTGGAAGACAAGTGGCACCAGTGCTGTTCTTCAGGAAATCCCAGATGCAAAGAGGAAATGGCTGCTCTGCAGAGTGCCCGACTTGCGGGTTGGTCTTGCGGGAGAGGGGGGACGCACACAGGAGCCTCCTGTGCTCTCTAGTAACAGTTGAGCTCCCTCCTTTGTTCACTGTCCCTCAGGATGATTCTGAGCAGCTCCTTCTACCTGCCCCCATCTCACCACTGGCAGCTCCATGGGAGGAGCCATGGGGTCAGTGTGTGGATTTCCCTAAGAGGGAGCCAAAGGGCCAGTAACAGGACTATAGCCCTTAGACTTGATGAGCAGAGCTGGGGGTGCAGCTCAGTGCAAGGTACAGGGAGCTCCAGCCCTGAGCCCTAGATTGAGGCCCCAGCACCACACAGTGACTTCTCAAGTGTAACTTCATCTGCCTAACATAAAAGTTTTCTCAGTTTTCAATCTCTAAACTGGAAATATGGCTTGAATATTTTAGAAAATGAAAAGACCTTGCCAAATGTCAAGCTAGAGCACCAAAGAAATTGACTGAATACCTTTCATTAGGCCATCATTTCCCAGGGCTACAGCCCAGGGAATTCATTAACCAGGGGTTAAAAGCTATAATTAGGACATGTTTGTTGTTTCAATATCTATTATCAAGAAATAACATTTGAGTTAAGCCTGGAAATCATATAATTAGCCCCACTGTGATTCACCTTGGACAATGTAGTCTGTTCACCGTGGAATGTGACCTGTCTCATGTAAGAACTCCGTCTCTGGCCTGTGGTTGGCTGTGGCAGGGGAGGAGGTTGGATTGCCCCCTCTTCACCCTTCTGTGCACAGCCTGGGACAAGACGCCCTGCACTGTGTCAATGTGCAGAGTGCCAGTATGCAGGGTCCCTGCTTCCCAGGGCTCCAGAAAGTACTCTCTTATTGAATGTTATGTCATAGAAATCTTCCCACATGCATGGTCATTGCCAGCACGGCATTAAGGAGGACACAGCGCTTGCCTTCATGGGTCAAAGTTCATCTTATTCATCCATTATTAGTAGACATTAGAGTTAACATATTATTATTATTTTTTTGTATTTTAGGGAAGGGTCTATTACTAGATCGGACTCATAGTGATCCACCTGTTTATAGCCTCCCAAGAGCTGGGATTACAGGAGAGTGCCACCATGCCCAGTCTCAATTGCTGTCTCAGGGTGCCCCTGGGGGGTGGCCGGCAGGGCAGTCCAGGGAACTGAATCCCAGCCTCTGTGCCTGCTTGCAGGCACTTTAATCTGTTGAGCTATTTGGCTGGCCCTATTAACCTTAAATAGAATATTTTAATATAACTATTCCTAAAAATTGACATTTCTCTAGAATTTTGGCATATGTTAGCAGCAAGGTGCTGGGTGTCTGAGAGAAAGGGGACAGAAATAAAGAGACTAATATTCTGCCTGGAAGAAGGTCACAGTCTGCGTGCAGGGAGACTCTAGGATGGAACCTGCGGTCAGTAAGAAAGAGCCATAATTGGGTGTCAAATGTGCATCCCGCACCTCCTCACCCCTCCTCATCTCAATGGCCCTTGTCCCACCCACCCATGTCATCAGGCTAAGCCTATGACTTGTAGGCATCCCAGGCTCGGATCTTACTAATGTGCAGAGCAGTCAAAGCAAGCAGGGGGATGGGCTTTCCAATTAGCTGAAGAAAGCACATGTGCTCTCAGTCAGCTATGGACTCCCTGGGTTTGAGACAGCCCAGAGACAGATGAAGATGCCTGCAAGATAACAGACCTGTGGGTAGCAGAGCGAGAGTGCATGTGGAGTTGGAGGAGGGAACAAGCAGCGCTTCAAAAATTAAAGAAATGTAGCCACTTGGTACCCAGGTGATAAATCAGATTATGCCATGAAATATTGAGGCTCATTTGGCTTATTTTTACCAATTCGTACCAGCACTTAGCTACTTTCAACTTTATCTGTAGAATTAGGCCAACTAACCCTCATATTCAAGGGCCTGAAGAGTATCCATACCGCACGAGGGATGGGCCGTGCTTGGAGTTGAACCAGGCTACTTGATGCCTTAGAACCTTCATGGGGAAGGTTTGGTACACAGAAGGAAGAGAGCGCGCAGCGGCTGCTTTGGGGGCAGCTGAGTCTCTGCTGTGTAGGAAACTGAAAGAGGGCAAGGCATGCTAGGGGAGACCTCTAACACCAGCTGCTTAGGAGCCTGAGGCAGGGATCTCAAGTTTAAGGCTCTGCGGGCAATTTTAGCGAGACCCTGTCTCACAATAAAAATTAAAGCAGGTAGAGCAAGTGCAAGACCTGGATGTGATCACCAGTACAGCAAAGAGGAAAAGAAGAAAGGAAGGAAGGAAGGAAGGAAGGAAGGAAGGAAGGAAGGAAGGAAGGATGGAAGGAAGGGAAAGTACAGGATTCAAGCCCAATTTTGTCTTTATTTTAGAATGTGATGTAAGAAAGGGAGGGTCCAACTTCATCCTTTTAGGTTCAGCTCTCTGATGGTCCCAGTGCAATGGTTTGAAATGATGATTCTTGCTCCATTGAACTGGCTCAGAATCCTTAATGAACATCAGTGAACTACGCATGTGAACGATAAGGGTCCCTCTTTCAGGCTCTGTGCTTCATCTACGTAACAACTGGCCTCAACTGTGCCTGTACACAGAGTCTGCTATGGCTTGCTCAAAATGAGCTCTATTTCCTGAGGGTTGTGGCCCAGGCTGCAGCTCATTTTCAGGCTGAACCTTCACGTCCCTTCCCCACAGCCTGCCTGCTGTGATTGCACCCCACGAGCCCTCTGCCTGCCCCAGCACACATCTCTTTGTCAGTCACAGCCACGTTATAATCTGCTTTTCCATTGACCATATTTCCTCATCTGCTTTTCTGTAATCTCCTTTTCCAATCAGGAGTATCTTTTAAACATTTCATCAAGTCCTCAGTATTCTTTGTGTGACTCTAAGTAGCTCCCTTACACTGACTTTGGGAGCCATTGTTACTGCAGGGGCTGAGAGAC